CCATGACTTTGCATGTGACCCCCACGCCTTTCGCCGGTGCCTCTCCAAAGGCCTCCTATCAGGTACTACATATGGCCCCACGGTGGCGCAGGCCGTGAAGTGGCCCACTCTTGATTTCGGCTCAGGTCGTGATCTCAGGCTGGTGGGATCGGGCCCTGTGTTGGGCTCTGCGCTGACGCTCTCTCTCTCTCTCTCTCTCTCAAAAAGGAAAAAAAAAAGAAAAGAAAAAAGTTCTTCTTGCCCAGCATCTTACAAGCAAAGTCAGTAGAAGCTAGTGTCTAAGTGTTCTCTCTTTCTTTTTTTTTTTTTTTAAGATTTTATGTATTTATTTGTCAGAGAGAGAGAAGGCACAAGCAGGGGGAGGGACAGAGGGAGATGGAGAAGCAGGCTCCACACTGAGCAGGGAGCCCAATGCAGGACTCGATCCCAGGACCCTGAGATCATGACCTGAGCTGAAGGCAGATGCTTAACGACTGAGCCACCCAGGCACCCTGTGCCCAAGTATTCTAGTACTATATTTTGTTGATTGAACAGATATTTCTCCAAGAACTGCATCATTCTAGACACTGTGGGGAAGATCAAAGGAAAAAAAAAAAGACCCTTTCTTTGTAGGTCAGCACCTTCTGTTTGAAAAAGCCAACAGTTAACCTCATATATTACCATATTGAGTAGATGCACTGTCCTCATTTTCGGTTGCTGGTATGGCCTGCTTCATGTTGATTCCTGTTAACTTTGATCTTTAGAAGATGTTTTCTGTCCTGACCACGTTTTCCCTAAGAAATTCCAATGTAATGTGTTATGGGGTTCAAAAGAAGGGATGATGCATCCAATGAAAGGGGGATACTCAAGGAATTCATAGAGGAGAGGACATCATTGCCTTGCCCTATTCTGGAAGTTTATGGACAAGAAAAAGAGGTCCTTATTTTAATGAAATCAGACAACTTAAAAAATATCTTTGGACCTTCAAAATCCTCTAGAAGACAAATTATTATTTATACGTTAGATTTCTCATAGTTAATATATTAGCTTTAGGTAGGTTAAATTCATGTTACTAAGCTGTTTCTTGAAGCTACGTGCATACTTTATGGTGGAGAAACTCTACCATATAACTTGTACCACTAAATGTGTAGTGTAATTTAAACTAGGTACCAAGTTTTTGGTCCAAGTTGTTCAGGATAAGTTAAACTTAAATTACATTCTGTTAACCAATATGAGTGTATTTCTGCAAGCATAGTTATGTTGAAATAAAGTTTTAAAAAGAAAAAAAAATGTGTAGTATATTTCTACCCATTTTTTTTTTTTAAATGTTATATGCAGAAGTAGGGTCGGAGGGTAGAGAAGAGCCGCACAGGATTCCAGCCCCAGCTCTGACCCTCAACACACCCCCTTACCCTCCCGGAGCCCCTGAGTTCTATCTTGTCAACCTCAGGACCTTTCCAGTTCTGCTGTTCTCTTACTTTCTGAGCTTGACTCTCTCTCCTGCTCCTCTTCAGATAACTAAGATAGGAGATAAGAAAAAAGACCACAAGCCTCTTAAAAAAACGCCTGAAATTACCTCTCTAGCTGCCATCTTGCATCCCCGCGTGTGTGCACCTAATCTCAGCTGGTCCGCCCGAGACCCCTGAGCGCCAACCCTATTCCCCCACGCAGTCCATTTCCGCTCCAACAAGATGAAAGAAACTATTATGAACCAGGAGAAACTCGCCAAACTGCAAGCCCAAGTGCGCATTGGTGGGAAAGGAACTGCTCGCGGAAAGAAGTGGTTCATAGAACGGCTACAGCAGATGATAAAAAACTTCAGTTCTCCTTAAAGAAGTTAGGGGTAAACAATATCTCTGGTATTGAAGAAGTGAATGTGTTCACAAACCAGTGATCCACTTTAACAACCCCAAAGTTCAGGTATCGCTAGCAGCGAACACTTTCATCAATACAGGCCATGCTGAGACAAAGCGGCTGACAGAAATGCTACCCAGTATCTTAAACCAACTTGGTGCAGACAGTCTGACTAGTTTAAGAAGACTGGCTGAAGAGGGGAAGAATGAAGGGGGGGAAATTGGAAGGGGAGACGAACCATGAGAGACTGTGGACTCTGAGAAACAAACTGAGGGTTCTAGAGGGGAGGGGTGTGGGGGGGGGTGAGCCTGGTGATGGGTATTAAAGAGGGCATGTTCTGCATGGAGCACTGGGTGTTATACACAAACAGTGAATCATGGAACACTACATCAAAAACTAATGATGTAATGTATGGTGATTAACATAACATCATAAAAAAAAAAAGAAGAAGAAGAAGACTGGCTGAAGCTCTGCCCAAACAATCTGTGGATGGAAAAGCACCACTTGCTACCGGAGAGGATGATGGTGATGAAGTTCCAGATCTTGTGGAGAATTTTGATGAAGCTTCCAAGAATGAAACAAACTCAATTGAGTCAACTTCTGAAGAAGATAAAACTTGAAGAAGTTACTGGGAGCTGCTATTTTATATTATGACTGCTTTTTAAAATTTTTTTCATGGCTCTGATAAACACTAGATCTCTAATATTTTTAAGCCCAAGCCCCTTGGACACTGCAGCTCTTTTCAGTTTTTGCTTATACACAATTCATTCTTTGCAGTTAATTAAGCTGAAGAAGCCTGGGAATAAAGTTTGAAACAAGGTTAATAAAGTTCTTTGCCTAGGAAAAAAAAAACGCCTGAAATTAGTGATTCAGCTGCTCAGGTGCTGGGCAGAGGAAGACCCATGCATGCAGGGCGGGTGGGGAGGGCTTCACCCAGGAGAGTCTGAGCTAAATCCGCAAAGTTGGAGGAAAGGAGTTTCATGGTTTGTCTTTAAATTTTTCTGTCTCATCAATCTGATCTCATCTCAGAAAATCAGTACTGATAGTAAAGGCCAGAAATATTTCAATGATGTGTTGTTTGAAGAGAAATCTGACGATTAGACATTTTGAGCGGATGCCAAACCACAAATAATCCCCAGTTCTACGGCATGGCCAACGCATGGATGTAAATTTACATTCAGCCCTCTGGATCACTAGCTTGACTTCGAAGAGCTTAGGTTTTCTGCATTCATTTATCTCAGAGCCACTTTGCTTTTCCCTGCAGAGATTCTTGAGATATTTTCTATTCAATAATAGAGCCATATCAAGTTCCCTTGCAAGATTCCTTCTATTAAATCAGAGGCCTGGACTACTAACATGTGACATTCTGTTGTCTGCTGCATCACAGTACATTTTAGCGTGTGGTATCGGACATGCTTTGAAGCCGGTCCCTTTCTCTGTTGTCACTCAGAGCCTCACTGCGAGAGGTGACCTCAGAGGGTGCTGCTTTTACCATCTAGTCTTACTGTTCACCACTGGCCTTACGATGTCTATACCAGTCAATCCCATTTTCCTCTTTTGATTTTCTTTTTAAAATTGTTTTCCTCATTTGATTTTCTTTTAAAAATGTTTTCAATGTTCATTTCTTCATCGGTTATAAAACAGTTGGAGAATACCAAAATTCATAAAGGAGGAAATAACAGTGATCCAGATTCCCAACACTCAAGAGTTAATGACTGTTCATACTTTGGGTTGTTTATTCTCAGTCTATCCCTTTATCTTTCTTGGGTACTTCAGTACCCTAAAAAATGCAGATTTTTCCCCACTAACAAGTTGAGGACGATTGAGACTACTACGAAGTAAGTTTCTGTCTCTTAACCTTGAGCGCTAGGTTAATCAGGCTTCCACTGCAGCGCTGCATAACAGACAATTTCCAAGTCTCAGTGTCTTATAACAGTGACATTTATTTCACACTCGTGGTGTGCAGGGTGGCTGAAGTTTGAGCTTGGCTGGCTCAGCTGAACTGGGCTGGACTCCAGGCTTCGTGTCTGGTCCACGCATCACCATTTTAGGGCCTTGGCTGAAGGATCCACAGCTACCTGAAGCATGCTCTTCTCTTGGCAAAGGGTGATTGGTGGAAACCAGCCATGCTTTCTAAAGCCTGAGCTCAAAATTGGGGCATTGCCATCCCACCCACATTTCATTGGTCAAATCAAGTCACTTGGCCAAGCCTGAAGTCAATAGGGTGGAGAAGAATACTCCTCCCATGGGGGGACCAAGGTGTATTAGTTTGTTAGGGCTGCCATAACAGATACCACAGACTTGAACAAGGAAAGTTCATTTTCTCACAGTTTTGGATACTACAAGTCTTGAGATGAGGGTATCATCAAGGTTCACTTCTTCTGAGGCCTCTCTCCTTGGCTTGTCAGTGTTGTCTTCTTCCTGTGTCTCCGCATGGTCTTTCCTTTGTGTGTATTTAGTCCTAAGCTCTCTGTCTTTTTTTTTTTTTTTTTTTATTCTTATGTTAATCCCCATACATTACATCATTAGTTCTGCACAACACCCAGTGCTCCATGCAGAACGTGCCCTCCTCAATACCCACCACCAGGCCAACCCATCCTCCCACCCTTAAGCTCTCTGTCTTATAAGGACATCAATCATATTGGATTATAGCCCACCTGAATGACACCACTGAACCTTAAATTTCTCTTTAAAGACTCTGCCTCCAAATGCAGTCACATTCTGAGGTACTCGGCATTAGGATTTCAATATATGAGTTTGGGAGGGGGCCCATAACACATAGTAAAGGTGGGAAATGAAGGAAGGATTATAGATAAAGAACCTCAAGCATTTAACATCAGTGAGGCTCAGCTTCCTCATCTTTAAAACAGGGATAGGCATCTCTATGTTATGGGTTTGTTAGGGGCTGAATGAGAAAATTCCTGTGAAGCCCCTGCTGCGGGAGGTGGTAAGGATGGGTGTGGTTCTACTTCACATGGAAAGACCAAATCCAACCTTCTTGGGCCTATCGCCTTGTTGTTCTACCATGGGGGCAAGCTGAGAGTGTTCAGTGCTTCTCAGAATGGCCTCCACAGCAGCTGTACCATCTTCATAACAAAGTCAATAGAGCCTTTTGGGTATTCAATCTATGACCTTGGTTTTGGTGACACCATTTCTTCCCATGAGCTATGGCTATCATCTTTCCTTTACTACAAGTAGTTACTGAAGACCTTTTATGGCTTAATAGGGCTGTGGGCTTCATATTGACCTAAGGCTTGGCCCTCCCCCCTAGGGACCACAGTTGAATGCCTATGGAAACAGTATGTGAGCCAGGAGGTCAGAGCAGGGAGTGTCCCTCTCTCTGCCTCTGTGTTCAAAGCCAACTGCCTCACACAATCTCCTTTTGGTTTTCTCCCCTAGAATACTGTGTTAAGGAACGGTTCCGAGACCTTCGACTCCTGGAAGAAGCCCCCTCTGCCTGTGTATGCCCAGTTCTATTTCTTCAATGTCACCAATCCAGAGGAGATCCTCAGAGGGGAGACCCCTCGGTTAGAAGAAGTGGGGCCATATACCTACAGGTGAGTCCTGACCACCTCCCTGCCATACCAGCCAAAAATACGGAGTGACCCCACTGTGGGCTGAGTCCACCTCTCTTCCCACGAGCATCCTCTGTGCGCTGGGTGGGGAGCACAGGTTTGGGTGACATCTGTCTGAAATGTTGCTGATGGTTGTCACACGCCTGTGACACCTCGACAGAGAAGGCTTTGTGGACTAGGGCCTGTCTCAGCCTGTTATATTTAGAAATGCAGCTGCTTCCTCCTGAGTTGGCTGTAAGTGATTATTGAGCCATGAAGAGCTGTTCCCTACCCCCAACCCTTTTAAGGTTACCCCTTGATTCTCTTAAATGACTTATAGGGCCTTCCTCTATTTCCGTCCCCCACATACTGTTTTCGACCAGGTCGTACAATTTGTTGTTTGTCTGTAGACAGGCCTTTCTGTTTCTTATTCACTCTTTTCCCCACCCCTCCTGGCTATGAGAGATAACCAAGTGGCAGGGTAGGTTAGAGCCTTTGGCAGGGATGACCAATTCCAAACACAGGGGAGGTAGAATCACTTTAATCATTTTTTAGAAGATTAATAGAGGGAGGTGCTCAGGAATCTTATGGTCAGAGCATTTTCCCTGTTGTTGCAGTACCCACCCCTCCCACCCACCCACCCCCAATAATCTTTCCAACAAAATTTCTCCTTACCTAGTTTAAGAAAAACTAGAGGAGGGCACCTGGCTCGCTCAGTCGGAGGAGTGTGCAGCTCTTGATCTTAGGGTTATGAGTTCAAGCCCCAGGTTGGGTGTAGAGATTACTAAAAAAAAGAAACTAAAAAACAACAATAGAAGAAGCAGACAGCAAGATCTTTTTTTGTATAGAACTGCTAAATGGTAAAAATGCCTCACAATTCTGTCATAATCTATTGCTCAATAAATGGTTGCTGACTAATTCATATTATAAATCAGCGCTATTCCCTTGCAAGAATTCAGAGATAAAAATCTTGGTCCCATGGGGCACCTGGGAAGCTCAGTCAGTTAAGTGACCGACTCTTGGTTTCAGCTCAGGTCATGAGCTCAGGGTCCTGAGATTGAGCCCCTGGTCAAGCTCTGCGCTCAGTGGGGAGTTGGCTTGAGAGTCTTTCCCTCCCCCTCTGCCTCTTCCTGCCATATATGTGTGCGTGCACACGTTCTCTCTCTCTCTTAAATAAATATATAAATTAAATCTTTAAAAAAAAAATCTTGATCCCTGCCTCAGGTGTTCACAGTCTAGCTCTGGAGTTGAATTACCTGTTTTGAATCTCACCTCAACCACTTACAGTTTTCTGTGTCTCTGTTTCCTTACCTGGAGATAAAAATAGGACACCCAACCCAGGATTGTGATTGGGATTAAATGAGCCAATGAGTCAGTATTTAAAAAGTGATTAGATGAATGCCTAGCACATACTTAGTGCTAATTAAGTGTTTGATATTATTATTCATCTTAGCGGATTGTTTTAGTCTATATAAACCAATATCCAGATTTGTAAAGATGAACTTTGTTGTCATATAAAGGAATTTTAAATAAATACTTGGGTCTTTATTTTTAAAAGCAAAGTTTTGTATGTGTTTAATGCCTGCAGCAACTATGTGCAGGGTAGAGCAGATCTGTGTTTGTGGCTGAACTGCTCAGGGGTATTTAGAAGTTGACCTAAAATTAGGATCTGAATGTCCTGTTTATCTGCTTTTTCATTTTGCAATTTTAACCATTTTCTATTGAGATTAAAAGAAAGCAATATAAAATGCATAACCATTTTTAAGTGTACAGTTCAGTACTGTTAAGTGTGTTTTTACATTGTTGTGCAACAAATCTCTAGAACTCTTTCATCTTACAAAACGGACACTCTGTAACCATTAAATAACTCCCTCCCCTTGCCCCCTACCTCCTAGTAACCACCATTCTACTTTGTTTCTATGAATTGGACTGTCTTAGATACCTTGTGTGAACAGAACCATACAGTATTTGTTTTTTTGTTGTTTTTGTTTTTTCACTAAAATTTTTTTTGGGGGGGAGACTGCCTCCACATAAGAATGAACTCACCTGAGAACTAAGGAAAACAATTTGCGCTCGGAGTCTCCTGGACCTGTTCCTATGGTCATTATCCTCATTTGAGAAAAAGAGATGCATTGTAATCATAACCCAGAAAAAAAACAATATTCCATTAAAATGTCTTCCAGGCCATTGTGTCCGCCGGCTTAATGTGCTATTGTAGGTGTGGTCACGGGGATAAATAAATCCTAGGAGTAAAGCAGTGTCTGACTGTTAACCAAACTCCCTCCATGTTCCCGTTTTAGAGGGACCAAGACTTACTCCTGACAAAAGCCCCAGAACATCTTGCTAGGGGTTCTTAACCCTGGGTCCATGGATCCCTAAGGCCCATGGATAGAATTCAAAGTGGTCTGTGACTTAGGTGGGGAAAAAAATTATAATTTATCTTCAGTAACCACTCACTAAAACTTAGAATGTCCTTTGAGTATAAATGTAGGCAACAAACCACAGTGATGTAAGCAATACCCGTGGCTTCATCACCAATGGAAACACAGATATTGTGTCTCATGATAGATGTTGCTCAAGATACCGTTCATTTCCAGAAATGTTTCAGAAATGTTTCAAAATTACAGTAACTGTTAGACTTGCAGCTACATCTTATTTAAACTGTCAGTAAAGAAGCGTGTATATTACCATATCACAGATTTTTTAAATGATACCTGCATTTCGGTAATTGGCTTCCTTTGTAATCCTGAGTATTTTAGTCTCTGTATGTAAAAACATTTATCTGAGAAAGGGTCCATAGACTTGACCAGACTGCCATGGGGGCCAATGGCCAATGGCATAGATGAAGGATCCTGAGAGCAGATCCAGGCGTTTGGAAGGCAGTTCGGTCACTCACTGATTGCTTCATATTTCCTTCCTCTGGTTTTTCTCCCTGCCCTGGTTTCTCTTCCATTCCACTGCCAAAGATGATTTCCCAAAGGGAAATTTGCCATTTCCTTCCATTCCCTGCTCAGGGCCCTAGAGACTCTTCCTGTGTGATGTTCTAGGCCTGAGCAATCTGGCTCCTTTTCTATGTCTAGCTTCTTTGTTTTATTTTAATTTAAATTTAATTTTTTGGCACTCTCAACCTTGGCTTTTATACTCTGATCAGAGCTATCCAATAGAAATTTACTCTAAGCCACATATGTTAGTTGAAAATGTTCTAGGAGTCACATTTTAAAAAGGTGAAATTAATTTTAGTATTTTATTTACCCCAGTACTATCCCAGTGTCCTTTCAACATGTAATCCATATCCAGAATTATTAATGAAATGCTTTACATCCTTTTTAATTTTTTTTTTTAATACTAAGTCTTTCAAATCCATAACACATCTAATTTTGGACTAGCCAAGGTTCGAGTGTGTAATACAGCCATGTGGGGCTGGTGGCTACCATGTTGGACAGCGCAGTTCTAACTGTATTCCAGTTGTTTGTTGGTTCCCGACAGTGCTCTGCCATTTCAAGCTGTTCCCTCAGTCAAGAATGAACTCACCGGGATGCCTGGGTGGCTCCATGGGTTGAGTGTCTGCCTTCAGTTCAGGTCATGATCCCAGGGTCCTGGGATCGAGTCCCACATAGGGCTCCCTGCTCAGTGGGGAGCCTGCTTCTCCCTCTCCATCTGCCTGCCGCTCCCCCTGCTTGTGATCTCTCTCTCTCTGTCAAATAAATAAATAAAATCTTAAAAAATAAAAAAATAAAAGAATGAACTCACCACTACCTCTCTCAGCTCAAATGGTGCCTCTTCCTGAAACTTTCCCTGACTTTGGATGAGCTCTCCCTGGTATGTGTGTCTGTTACAAACTGACTAAATGCATTTTAACAATTGGTTACATATCTGTCTTTCTTCCCCATGTACTGAAACCTCAAGGAGGGGCAGAAACCAAGTCTTTCATACCGGAATATCCAGTGGCCAGTGAATATTTGTGAAACAAGTGAATGAAATATCCTCAGCCGTGGTTTAAATCCATAGGGACACAAGAGGAGAAATTGTGGAAATCTGCAGAACACAGGTAGCTCAGCTGGAACCATAGGACTTAATCGGGGAAGCCCAGGAGTCAAGGATAGGTTCAAGAAAGAGGAATAGGGTCTTGAAAATGAATGCCTTTGTTTAGGAACAGACGCTCGCATGCACAGTGCAAACTGCAGAGCCTTCCTGGCAGGGTTGAGTGCGTTGTGAGCTGGAATTTGCAGAAAAACATGGCTTTTTAGCAACACTTGTGGCCCTTCTAGTGAGCCTTTTGTAGTCATCTAGTGGATCTGATTTCTACCACTCGTGATTTAATTATGCTATTGTTTAGACAAGACAGAACATTCCAATAACTCCTGCCCCAGTGCTAGATAGTTCCATGGGTTCCCTCCCAACTGAGTCAGCTGACTTGATTGGGTCCACAGGGGCCTGGGGCAAAGGAAGGGGAAGGCATGCTGGCCTCCCACTGGTCAGTGTGGATTGGTCTTGCTGGTGGGAAATCTCTGAGAAGGGGGAAAGGACATGCCCTGATTAATTGGACATGCAGTTTACAGTGGCACGTTTCCCCCAACTTTAGCATACTGGTAAGTTCAGTGTATTAATGTTTTTGGAAAAAGATGATGGCAGTTCCACCCTTAGATAAAAACCAGTCAGTCTGGTTTAAGGAATGTCGTGCGTTATTTACATTTGTATAAAGCTGTGGGTTGAGCAGCCCTGGACCGGGCCTGTTAGCGCAAAGCTAATTGGCTTCATGATCCTGTCGCTTACTGACATATTTGCCTAAAATGTGTATCCAATTTATGATGTGCACTGGCTTCTGCAAGCTTCTGGAGATCTTTTTTCATTTTGTCAGATTTCTTTTTCTTTTTTGCCTACTATTTAACATATCAAGAATTAAAAAGAAAAATCAATTTGTCCAAGGGCTCTTTCAACTAACTCTCATATTTCTAAGACATATTTGCAAAATTTACAATACCCTGTTAAAATATCTCCCATTT